CAAGCAGCAACAGAAGAAGAAACGTTGCTAGGGTAAGTAGAGTAAATATCAGCTACAGCTACATTTTTTCCGTTCACTCAATGGTTCTTAGAAAGTTTTTAATAATACATATTGACGATGGACATGATTTCAGGTGTCATTTCATAACTATGATGTTTCAACCACACTGTGTTCTACAATTTGTCTTTAAAGAAGTCGTTGTGTTAAAGTGATGCTGTTCAATGTTACCGGAGATCGTGACCCAAGAGGATTAATAGAAATGCTACATCATTGTAACTTCTCTTGTGCTACCTTCTGTCCAAATATCGTTGATATCAACTCAAAACAACCATTATTGGGTGAGCGATCACTAAATTGTTCTCTTTACACGGATCTTGGACCAATATGTTTCAAAAATACGAGTAAATGTAACAATAGTATTACTTATTTCGAAAAACGAAAGCTACCTTTGAAGTGGTAGATTATAGTGAGGAGGTGATTGATACAAACCAAAATACAAAATTTGAATTTACCTGTGGCTATTTGTTTTTCGAAATATCAGTACAAAATATACAAAGAAGTCAAAATTCATGGATGTGGTAATTGGATAACTACATCTTCAATAAGAAAAAGTATTGAACAAGTTCAATCTGTTTTGTCTTGCCATATCAGCATTCCTGCTATAATAATGACATAACACACGACCTCGCTATATGAGTCAGTTCAAATGCATGGTTATTTGCATATAGTGTTTGTTAATCATATATTGAGTGACATCGATTGTTACCCAGGACCTGCAGGTTATCATTATTAGGGTGCATATGCCATAAACTAATTTTAGTTCTTTTTATGTTCATAAAAAAATATCTACACTACCTTGGATCTGGTCGGCTGCTACAGAAAATCTATCTCTGAGATTAAATGTACTTCCGTATAGACCGCATTTCTATATATATATGTGTGTCTAGACTATGTTTCACCATTTTATATTCTAGATACAGAATGGAAAATATCATTAGAGTATGCTAATGATGTGTGTGAGAAAAACAGACAAGTGTGGAAAATTTTAGACGAGAAAGTAGAACCCGATTCACTCTCGCCATTACCTGCGCGTCCTCCGAGAATTGAATTAGATACTGCCCCAAGATTTGACTGTGTTAAGCATGTTCTACAGTGGATATCATGTGGCAAAGATTCTCGTATGTCGAAACCAAGATCCGAAGATCCAACACCATTACAAAGTATCGTGGAAGCAGACCATGTACAGGTTCTTGTCACCGGAAGTTTACATTTAGTTGGTTGTGTTATCAAAGTTCTTGAACTTTAAGAAGATGAACATAAACATAACGATGACACATATGAATGTTAAACGCAATTCATTTTATTAATGACAATGACTAGTTTTTGGATTTATGTTAACACTGTTGTATAGTTAGTAACCTTCTACGAAACAAATAAAAAATGTTGTTGTTATTTCACGTGCATGTCAATAGCGAGCGTAGCGAAAGCGGCCTAAGGCTCCATAGATGTGTATATATAAAGAAGTATGGAAGAAATCTATATACCCTATGATTTGAAAACGACGGTCAATGGGTGGCGCTATTTTTGTTTGTTTGTTTGTTTCACAAATTATGCGAAACGAGACATCTCATTGACGATAAAGCATCTTCAGAATATTGTTCGATGATAAGATAACAGACGGAAAAATATTTGAAAAGTGTTTCGTGTCATTTTAGATCAGCACTGACACCCGAATTGTGCATGGTGCCATCTTGAATTCCACTCAACTCGCGCAAGAAATAATAACTCGACTCCCGCAGTTCACCCGCTTCGACGTGTTCAGTCAATTATATTTTTAGTAAATCACTAAACTACTCGGCTGCGCTCGCACGCTAGGCATTACGTGCATATTAACTATCATACGTAAAGCTAATTTCAGTATATGTTACAATGAGTTATAAATGTATATATTACATATGTCTTAATTATATATTAATCATAATATGTTACATTATATATATTTCATTTTTATTCATCATTGATTCAAATTAACTGTGCGCACTGAGTAATTTCAATTTATTAAAAAAAAACATTCTGCGGCACCTTATACATAGCCAAACTGTGTGACAATCGTTAATACTGAAAATGTCAGCTCACCAAGATTTTCCTCCACCATACTAATGCACAAACAAAACCCTATTATATCTATTCAAAGCAAAATTGTATATGTTCCTTTTAAGCGTATAATTTGTTTATTAATGTGCGTCTCAACAGTTAGACGGACTACAGTTACAGAACTAGGCCATACATACAAATTCGTTGATCCATCTTTTCAGATAACAGAGAAAAGAAGAAAGCATAGAATAAACAGCGGAAAACACTGAATCCCGGAAACAAAATCTAGAAATTCACAGGAACATTTGTAAACAAATGAACTAAGCGAATGTTTACACGATCACAAGTACACGATCGTATTCACCTATATCTTGCCTATATATAAATATACATAATGTCATAGTTACGTGCATATCAAATGGTAGAAAATTCCCATTATACCTTAATGTGGCGCATGTGAAAAAGCTAATTTCATGTTTCACATACGGGGAATAATTTAAACTGACTCAGTAAGCATACGTGTCAAAGAATATCAATGAATGTATATTGTCAGTTACTATTAGATATAGATATTAGTTGCAACACTAGAATCGAATGGGTATTTAGCATTCATTATTATTTTATTTTATAACTCTAAAACTGCTAAGCATCATACCTTACATCCCATTTACAGAAACCTTACGATTCTCTTCTCTATACTCTTTTCTAATTGTTATGAACACGTATTAAGTGGAACATGAATGATACAGTACATCGTAATTTTACTCAAGGGGTTCGTGATATAGTTGCAGTATGACTAATTTTATTGTTCAATTGTTCATAACAACATCCGTGATTGTTAGTGCGATAGCTAACGTTATTAACATTTCCTGTTTTCTTTTATTTAAATATTATTTAAACTCCGTAATTTCAATCAATTGTCGTTGAATATCACGTTCATTTAAGTCGTAAAACATTGATTTATGTAATTGGAGATGTATGATTTGTTATGTATTAATAGTTTTTAAAGAAAATGTATATTACTTTATAGCTATATTTAATTATGATTGTTTGATTACAATTACTATTTGTTCTTCAGTATAATATCTTTGTTCAAATGTACCGCGGGATATTTATTTGTTTTGACTTGCATGAACTTTATAATGTTCAAGTGCTGAGATTTATTTCAAGAATATGATCATTACTGCATAATTTAGTAAACGTAAATATAATTGATACCGTAAATACCATATCAGAGACAAATACATATTAATATAGAAGGATAATATCGAAAAAAAAATATTCGAAAAGTATAATTTAGCAAATGTATAGTAAATAAAAAAAATTAAACAGACTTATATTTGTGTCATGTTGTTATATTCATTGAATTTATTTATCGAGGGGAATGTTTGGCATCTGGAAATTTGCGAATTCTTTAATTTCCTCGTGGTTATATTCTTTAGGTGACCTGATGGTTTTCTTTTTTGTCACAATACTTGTTCCCAGGCAAAAAAAATGTTTTATTCATTCTCATAAAAAACGAGACACTAACTACACACCCGTGAAATATCATACTCAGTTTGTTCAGTTGCGTTATATGTGAAGATTGCATATGTAAATATTGTCAACTAACACAACCAATGCAAATCGATGCATACAATTCGACGTGCATATGCATAAACTGTTATTCATCAGTATACTGTCACGTGTAATGTTCATATTGAGCTTGCGCAAAAACGTCTATTCACACAACAACCACACAATTTACAACGCCCAGAACGAAAGTTTTATTCATTCGCCCCTATGAATTAACCGACACTGTCATACGCCTGTTGATTTATTACGGATAGACCAGTATTCGGCCCCATGGGCCTAGAGGTCCTAGTATTGTCTTCGTCAACCAACCACACGAATAAATCGACAGGCCTCTGGCAATATTATCCCAAATTTGTGGATTTACTCCACTCAGATGTTACCTACAAAAAAAACTCGCAAAGTTCGTTTCTCCTTGTTAGTTTCATCCAACATTTGATATACGAACTGAGTTGCAGTTGTTGGAACGAATGATTCTCTCCGCAAGGTAGTCCACATACACTCGTCATAGCCTTAGTATTCATTGAATACCTGTTATTTCACGGGGCTAGTTTATTTCTGACATCGCCTTGTAAATATCAGGTCCCTATAACGTTGGGACTCAATTTCCAAAAATATCAAAATGCTTAAAGAAAACTTGTTTCACTTGATCAATTTCATTGCTACTACGTTCAAAGCATCATTTCCACCAGTTACTTAATTATGTTTTCATTATTCTGCCAATGAATTACAAATGGGTAATACGTAGTCGTAGATTACACAGTTCTTTAAACGTGGCGATGTGCGGAAAGATTGTTAACTGAACAATTCAGTACACAAAAATGTCACATCAAAAACTGTTTGACATCGGGACATTGCGGTTACGAAACGAGCAACTTGTTTCTACTTGCGGAGCTGGGTTTATTTTTCAGAATGAGGACTGGTCACGGTGAAATTATGTAGTTACGTAAGTTTCATACGAAACTATAATCATCAACCCAGGTATTCTCATAGGTTTAACAAATTAACTAGCTGTACCACCCACGAGTTGCATGTTTTTGTTATTGTGAACAATGAGTGCTTCATGTATATGAATTTGTTTATGATATTATTTGAATTATATGTATTATAGTATTTTGCATCAGTGTGCGTGCCAAAAAACGTACCAAATTAAACGTACCCTTTTATCCGAAACCAATGTAAATATTTTGACTTCATTAAATATTAAGTATAAACAAAAGTATAAAATAAAAAGTATAGGACTTTGCACTCATAAGCATGGTCGGGCGTAGTCTGATAAACGCACATACAAGATCGCCGCCAGTGTTAGAAGATGGACAGTTTTTCGCTTTTGATAACTTCACCGCTGATGATCTAAACATTGAAATTCCAGCAGGTTAAATACTGAATATATTTATTGGAGGAAGCAAATAAAAACAATATTTTTTAATGTTCATTAATGTTAGTAAAATATAAGAATATAACTTCATTATGAAATATACCATGAATAATTCGAGTACCAGCAGTGGGCCACTGCTGATAGTAATATGTGTAATTAATAAATAAAGACCTCAATGAATGTCTCCCTAAGCTTGTACCCAAATATAATATGCTTGCAGTGAAAACTTGTTTATAGTACCCCCTTGTAATAATTGCTTACCTATAAATTGCGGAAATTCAAAGAACAACAATAATCCCTCAACGCTCTGTGACATAATAATAAACTTGCTACTATGCAATGATTTGTGAATTCACAAACATGTGCAATATTTGCAAGACACACTGTATCAGAAATACCGTTTGTCTGCAATTCCATGGTTGTAATTGTGTATCTTTGTAGGCCTGGCTTTGCACCCTGCTGAGATTGTAGAATAAACAGTGCCACATTTGCTCACATGGAAATTAACGAACCTTGCCGAATGAAGAAATTTTTTTTCTAGGCCTAAATTTTAAAATGTGATAATGTAATTGGAAACACTCTATGATTGAATTGTACTCTCGTAAAATAAAGATATTACATTAGTTGAGCTGATTTCGCCCTAAACAATAATGCAATTTCATGAACATATAAAACAAAATGTGGAAGGAAATTACTAATTCTACTTGATTAATTTTCAAAACGTAACATCTGTAATTATTTTGCAACTGGGATGTTTGTGGATGAATTATAATTATTTGTGGCCGGTTGAACAGAACAGTGCGCCCGTGAGTGTGGCATATATAAAATCAATTTATCCGGTCACAAAACGAAATAATTATTTTCACCAATGTTCACTCGCGTTTCGCAATATTATATTGTTTAATCATTACCATAGAAACTGCAGTCGTCTAGGAGAGTAATTATCGTAATTGCACCGACAGACTCATCACGATTAATAATGCACTTTATGTTTTTTTATAAGCATTTAAGCGCATAATTAAAGAGCATGACGATAACACATAAAAATTCTTATAAAAGTGCTCTCTAATGATACCGGAAATACAATGTGCAGTCGCCTAAATAAACTTTGATCCTGTGTTGGTTTTCATGTATTAAAGTTAGCTGTTATAACACAGACGAATGACATTATTTGGATTTATCTGATAACACCTGTTGAGCTAGGATAATGCATATGTACAATATTATTAAGATACAGTAACCCCATGTATGAATGTTTTATT